TATATATATATATATAATTTGGTACAGGGTCTCACTATACAGCTCAGACTTATAGTGATCCTCCTGTTTTCAGCCTCCTCAGGGCTTGGATTGCAGGTATGTGCCACCATGCTCGGACTTACTCGCTGGCTCAACACACCCAGGGGTGGGGCTAGCATGGCATGTGGTACCAGGGATTGAACCCTGGTCCCTGTGCTTGCCAAAGCAGGTGCTTTGTCCACTGAGCTATCTCACCAGCCACCTGAAAAGTTCTTTATAACTCTAAACATCTATTTCCTTCCTCTTGCTCAACAAGCATTTCATTCTCATCTACTCTAAAGCCACTTACCACTCTACCTAATACAAGCTGTAGAAGTGATGCAGATACCATTAGGCAGAGGAAGAGGGCTAGATTTTGAACATTGTTGGCAAATTTGAGATATTGTGGTCATATTGGGCATATTTCCAAAAGTTGAACTTTTCTTTGCCCTTCATTCCTCTCATACCCATCTGCTGGGCTCCCTACTATCTTTAGAAGTTCTATTGAGGAGCAGCAGCACATTTCAGCAAACTGATGAAATATGGAACATGGCATGGAAGTGGGAAAACTGCAAAGAGAAAGAACTGCACAGGGAAGGCTTGCTGCCAGGACTGCCTACATAACTTACCCACTAATTCACAAAACAGCCTTTGCCACCCTCGTGGAAATGGGCTCTCTTCTAATTGTAAGCGCCATTCTACCATTTAAAGATGTATGGCAAGCTGCAAAAGGCTGATACCTGCAAGCAGCTCAAGAGACACGGCTTCCCTCCCACTCCCTGCAGCACTCAGTGGGATTTCAGTTAAGAGAGAGAAGGCTCTCTGCTAGCAGGAAGTACGTGGGGAGCGGGACTCCCAAGTGGTGTGGGGAGGAAGGCACCCAAAGCCACTGGGCTAGAAAGGAGTCCCCGGGGGTAAGAGGCGAGCAGGATATTGGTTGGGGAGATTGTTTTATGGGACCTTCAGCCAAACAAACATCTCTGCTTCAACTAACTTAACCAATATTAAAAATATTAGTACTAATACTAATACTAATACTGAAATCAGTTAACAGACCATCCCATATCTAAATTTTGTTCAGGTTAAACATGAGAAAAATAAATTTGAAGAAGCAGTTTTGTCTTTATAGTTTATAATGCTCTCCTTTTTCTCATTATTAGTCTAGATACTCTCTATGGGATCTATGCAAATGCAGGTAATCATGTATCTTGTAACCCCCCATTCATGCCTGCGGCAGCCCTTTCCTTACCGTCTGCACGATGTAGATGACGGTTGCCGCGTAGCGAACTGGTTTGTTGAAGCGTAGCTGTAAGTACTGAGGAACAGACAGACACCCGGAGTCAGTGAGTTTGCCTACGAGCTCTGCAAGGGGCTTTTCTGTCCTGCTGGCATTTCTCCAAGCCAAGTGCTACGGACTTTTAGTACGATCCACTGAACTTTAAAGTCCACTGTGAATTAAAACTCACTTCCTTTTCATGCTTCTGGCTTTCTCCCCAGGACCAGCTAAAGCCCGTTTCCTGTTACATCTCTGCTGCCCCAAATGTAGCTCAGTTCTGATTTTCTTCTCTGAATTACTACTGCAGGCTCCTAGCTGGTCTCCCAACAGCAAGCCTTGCCCACCATCCATCTCAACTCATAGCTCCTGCATCAATTCTCTTAATACAGGGCTCTGACTGTGGCACTTCTCAAAATCCCCAGTCACTCTCCATAGTCGTTACACGCCTCAGGCATGACATGTCACACCCTCTATTGTCTGATCCACACTTAGGCTACTGAGTCATGACACTGACCCTCTCCTAATTTGTATTCTGCATAAATTCTTTAAGGTGTGTTTAACTAACACGTTCTGTGCTGTCCCAACTTTTCCTTTGTTTAGGTGAAATGCTCATTGTGACAGTTCTCCTCTCAAATTTTAAATTTGTTCCCCAAATTCTTAATTGTCACTCAAGAACTCAAGAAGAGTTCTTTAAAATAAATAAATAAGTAAATAAATACATAGAGGAGCTCAATTGCCACTGTTCTTATTCTTGCTCTGGCTTCCTCCTCCGGGCTCCTGTGACACTGATCCTGGAGTTTCTTTATGGTAATCAGTCACACACTGGCATTTTGGTGCTGGATTTGTTTCAGGTTTTGGATTGATCAGTTGCTATGAGTGCCATGAAAAATTGCCACCAATTTGGGGACTTAGAGCAGCACTGTAATACTTCCTGTATTTAGGGAGTCCAGCAGTCTAAATGAATTTCACAAGGACAAAATCAAGGTCATACTGCACTGGGAGGCTCTAGGAGCTGCTTCTGGCCTCCCTGAGCTTTTTGTGGCTGCTGGCCACCCTTGGCTTCTGGCTATACCATGCTGATGTTTGTGTCCTAATTCTACTGCTTGTCACTCAGTCACATGCTGCCTCCCCCCATGGGTGCACTGATTGTGTGTACATCCTAGGACCACATAGATAGTCCAAGACAATAGCTTCTTATTCTTATTTCTGAAGACCCAATCTCTCTCTTGTTTTTTGTGTGTTTGTTTTTTGTACAGGGTCTCACTACACAGCTCAGACATCTAGTGATCCTCCTATTTTCAGCCTCTTCAGCACTGGGATTACAGGCAAGTCCCACCACAGCCAGTCACTAGCTCAGCGCACCTGATGGTGCGGCTGATACGGTACATGTCTCTCTTGGTTTTCATCTTATCACAGGTTCTAGGCATGGAGATCTCTCTCTGTCTATACATCTCTTACTTTCTCCTCTCTCCTTCCTTTCAACCCTGGCTCAGCATGAGCAAGGCCAGTCAGAAAATGTGAATTAGAGGAAAATTAGTTATAATTCTACTCAGCACTCCTTATATCCAAAAAGGATCCATGAAACATTTGTGTATCATTTCTACCAAGTTGAAACTGCAGTGCATCCCAGTGAATTCTGAGTGTATCACCTGAAAATAAACATTATTTACCACAGAGAATCTTATAAGATTATACAAGCTAACCATTAACAATAATTAAATAATTAAAATAAAATTATAGGTTTAATAATAGCAGAAGAAGAGCTACAAGGAATTGTGAAAACACCAGAATGGTTTTATTTACTGATGGAGGTCAGAAAAGAATTTCGTGAGTAAGTATTCTCAAAGACAAGAGTGTCTAGAAGACATTCTTCCAATTCATAGTGAGCATGTATTTGATGAACAAAATAAATTGTAAAAGTAGCAATGACTCAGGCATTCAATTCCTTGCATGTTGACTCTACTTGGGATTTTTTACTATAGGAATTTAAGAAAACCATTTTGGTTAAATCAAAGATTCCCCATTGATCAGTACTCTTCCTAGAAACAACACATAAATGTTTCATCATTTAAAATGGATCTTTCTTTGAAATAAGGAGAACTTGGTAGAACTGTGATTTAGTTTCACACTAGCCCACATTTTCTAACTGACTCTGCTAGATGCCCTGAGTCCTCAGGTCAAGAACCACCTCATTGTCATACATCCCACTCAGTTCACTGGGATGCTGAGGACAGTCCTGTGAATGTGTGAAGGCAGCTGTAAAGAAAATGTTCTTACAGAGGCAGGGGAAGGCAAAGAGGATTAAAAGTATCAAACATCATGAGACAGAAGACGGCAAATCTTCCATGCTGAAGACACACTGGACTCTTGCCCCATGCCATTGGGAAGAGAAGTTTACTGCACAAACACTCAAGATTTCTGCACTAAGCCCTGAGTTCCTCTATGTAAACTAGACACAGGAACTGTAATGGTTGGTTGTTGTGTCAACCTGAGAAGTTTGGAAACTTAACTAAATTGGCCCAGCAATTCTACACCCAAGGGTATAGGGGACCCACCCTAGGGTGGGCCATTGCCTGGCCACTATAAAGGGGAATTGAGGAAAGACTTTTCTTTATTCTTCAGAGGAGCTCCAGTCTTTGCCTTCAACTTGCACGTCATTTCCTGGTTTCTCCTGCAGAGTGTTTGGCTTCCCTCGTACACTCTTCAGCCTTCTATAACAGACTCTTTGGCTTTCACTCTTTGGCTTCTGGGCATCCTTCAGCTTATGGTGTAGACTCTTCATCTATTGGCCTCCTGTGTGGACACTACAGAGAACTCCAGACCTTTGACTGAATCCTTCAGTCTCCAGTGTGCACCCTCTTCTTGCTTCCTCATCCAAATCTTGTAATTTCTTACACTTTGTAAGCCAATCTTGTAATTTCTTATACTTTGTAAGCCAATCTTGTAATTTCTTATACCTTTGTGTATCTTATGTTACATCTGTTTCCCTAAGAAACACTAATTGACACAGGAACAAAATGGCAGCCATCAAGTACATGACAGAAACAGTCAAGTGTGTGGTGATCCCACCCACATACAATGAGATCTCACTGGCTGTCTCTGTCACCATGGGGCGGTAGACACAGCTTGTTGGTGCTCTGTTCCAGTACATGTTGGTGGCCTCTAGATGAGCTTCTGACTGCCTACTTGAGGCTTTCCTTCCAACGTTGGCAGAGGGCTGGCAGGTCAGGAGTGCTTGGGGTTCTTATCAAGGCATGCAGCCATGACTACACAGAGGTGGAGAGATAAGGCACTCTTTTTCGCCTTTCAGAGAGCAGCTCCTGATGCATGTTCTCTACTGTCTTGACATCCCTAGTGCATGGAACCCCTTCAGTCACAATGGCAACCTACTAAGAAATGCATCTTTACTGGCTTCCTCTCCTCCCAAGCCTCACTTCGTTACCTGTCTACCTGTGCTTACTGGAATCATTCCCCAAAATGATTTCCCTTCAAACTCTTATCTCAGAATCCACTTCTAGGAAATACATGTAAGTCACCATTTTCAGCAAATGAAGTGCAAAATGTGGTCTTTAAAATGTCATAATGAGATGGATTTTCTTGTGGATAAGAATTTTCCATCACATAATGAACCCAGGGAAGCCTCCTGGAAGATGAGAAGAAATGTTGAACAAAGACAGGCTGCCTTGTCTGGTCCTCTTGAATGTGCAAAACTTTAACCACACAATTCCTGATGAGTCATGGAGAACCCGCAAGTTGGTCAAGAGGAGAACGCAGCTGAGGAAGGCCATGAAGCTGAACCATGGAACTAAGATCAAATTACTGTTTTGAGTTTACTTGGGGGTAGAGTGTTACACAGCAGTAGACCCACCCCCAGTGTAAAATTTGGAAGACATTGTAACAAAATAATAAAAATATATAGTCTTGCTTTGGAGAACAGTGATGTGTGAAGTCTGGGAAGCAAAAAGAAAAGTTTCTTGAAAATGGAAAGTTGCGTGGAGACTTCGATAGGAACCTAGAAGTCAGTGGTTTTATGTATGTGTATGTGTTTACATTCAGCCCACTGAGTGATACCTGAGAATCGCTTCAGGATGACAAAAGATCAAAGTGGATTGGAAGTCAGACTCCTTAGGTTCTGACCTGAAATTTGTCAGTATCTTTCTCTGTGACCTAAGCCACTGTTTTCTCATCCACAAAACAGAAAAGGTCACTTCAGTGCATCATTTGACTTCTGGAAGAACGTTCTCCCACTTCCTGACAGCGAACTTGCTCACTTGCCCACCAGGGATCCTCCTTGGTGGCTATCAGTACTTTCCCTCCCAGAAGGAGTGAAACAGAAGTTCAAAAGAAAACTCTCCTACTCCATGCCTGGTTTTAACTGTATGATACCATCACCCTGCTGGATCATTTTCAGAACTGCAGACTTCTTCCACACTGTATTCCAACTTAAGAAACAACAACTCCATGCTTCCCATTGGTTTAAGACTAATTCAGGTAAAATCAATCTTTACTTCTCTCCTACTGTCCAAATTCACTTCATCAAGTACTGCTGGAGCCGACTCTCCACCTTCACAATGACCAGCTGCAGTTCCCCACCCGTTGCCACACAGCCATCATCACCTCTCACCTGAGTTATGGCAACAGACTCCCCATCAGCAGCCTTCTCCAATGGCCAGAGCCCGATAACCATTCGTATCAGCCTTCTAGACCAATCCTCCAAATATAAGCCACAACATGTTGCTCCTCTACCAAGCCTTATAGCGACGTTCTAACCTAGATTAAATTTCAAATCTTACCATAACCTAAACATTGGTTATTGTCATAACATTGGTTCTGACCCTATACATTCCCATATGTCCAATTCTCCACTGATATTTTATAACATTATTTATTGTGCTTTAAAAATATTAAGTAATGATATCTTACATTTAAACATCTGACATGAAAACACTGCATAAATAGTCTCAGAACATCACAGACAATAAATATAACTGAAAGGAAGGCAATTTATCAAGGAAAGTAATGCATACATAGAGTAATAC